TTCTGAGGTGAGTAAACTGACACGTGACTGGACTCTTTAGATTTATTTATTTTTTCAGAGGAAACAAACTAAGTTTTCTACGGTGAGTTAAGATCAGGAGACAGTACCTGTTTCATATCTCACAGTAAGTCACAGTTCTTTCCAATTAGAGCTTATTTTTTACATAAACTTTGAAGACAAACACATTTCTTTGTAAAGACATCACTGTTTTTGCACATTTGACAAACAAGTAGAGATTTTATTTATACATTTTATTAATAGGGAATAGCTGAGAGAAAACCATGAGAATACCGAAAGCCTTTGAACTAAATGTCAGAGTTTTTCACATGTAAAGTCAGTTAGAGTATATTTCCTTTTAACTGTTTCTTTTATGCAATTTCTCACCTGATAGGCTCAGATTATGACCATCCTGGCAGCCATAACACCAGCTCTGCCAGATTAAAAAGCCCGCCTTTAATTGTTCACCTGCTCAGAGTAAATTGCTTTTGTTTTGTCAAACAAGAAGGAACTAACAACAGTGTGATTTCCGTGAAATTATGACCATCCTGTCCAAAGTTACCGAGGGGGTGCCAAATCCGGCTGCCTTAACACCAGCTCTGCCAGATTTAGAAGCCCTTGCAATTTTATTCATCATGAATCCAGAGTAAAAGGCATTTTTGCAGTTTAATTCGCTCCATTATGCTGCTTGAATGCAATCAAATATACCAGACTTTATATAAAAAGGAAGCAGATGTCTTGCACAACACTGCATAATGATATTCAACAATGATCTGTAGGAAGTCTTTGTTAGTGTCAAGGTGCCTAACACCGGAACAAATCATGTGCACCAAATTTGTCAGGTTGTATTAGAGTCGCTGACACCACGTCCTACTCAAACAAGTCATTCACATTCAAATAATGAGCAGAGTCCAAAGATGAGTCCAGAGATGATTTCTCAACATGACAACACAAAGATGTAGCCATTAATACTGTATGTCCTTATAGGAACATACAGGTGTTTTCGACCCCACACGTGTTTCAGATCATTATCTGAAAGAATAGGATTATACGCCACTGGGTCTACCAAAATAAAGTTAAATTAAAATGTGAGAGATCTTTGACAAATCCAAAACATCCTCCATCATGTGATTGCTTAGAAAATTGTTTTACTGCTCTTCTAAGATAAGATGTATTTTATTAATCACAATTTGGGAATGTTTTGTTGTTGCAGCGGCATAAAACAAAACAAGGCATTGGACATAATAACAAATTAAAAGAGTAGAAATAAACCATTCTAAATTATAAACATCTCAAAATAGAAAAAGAAAAGAATGCTAGTCCTGTTGTGCATTTCTGCAGACGTTTGAATTAAAGATGACAACAGAAACAATATAGCTTATGCCAAAATTGACTTTTGTAATCCAAGAATGTGATTCTAAGTATATATGGTTACAATCAGAGCCTCATTTTGGGCATCAGCAATCACTGTCAGATACGGGAATGTAGTTTGTCTGTAATATCTTCTTCAATACCTGCTGTGACCTTTGAAATTAAGGCAAATTCATAATCAAATATACTGAAAATGATACTAATGGTAGCATGCAACTTTATGGACCTTTTTTTCTGTACCACAAACTATCATTTGTTCTGCATAGTGGTGAACCTTACCAGTGAATCCAGGAGAATACGCCTCCTGTTATTTGCAAAACCAATTGATATGGTATGCAGAAAAAAAAGGTTGGATGTAACTACAGTTTTTTAAGGAGCCTCTTAAATGCAGCTGGGTTTCTAGGAAGCTCTAAAGAAGAACAGGTGAACACAGGTTAAATCAGGCTAATCGGCGAATCAGGTGGACAGACGGTCAGACAGAAACCCAGACAGACAATGCAACATTTTGGCTGAGCTGGCTGCTATACTGGCTTCCTGTGATGTTCCAGATGGTGGCAGGTTTTCCTTCCAGCAGCCTGTCAGACTTGGCTCGGAGCCACCTGTGAGTCAGGTAGGGCAAGTGAGGACAGCTTGGCAACAAAAAAAACTGCGATACCCAAGCCGGAGATGCTGTGGGATTTGAGAAAGCAGCTCTGTACTGGATCAGTAAGAAGTCGTTTTGGGATTTGGTTGTATTTCCCAAACACGTCACACACGTACAACAAGAACGGCTAATTCAATGAAGTTAGACTAAAATTGTCTTTTTTTTTGTCTGTTCATTGTATGCTTTAGCCATACCTTTACAGTCTTTTAAGTCACACTAGAACCCCTGGCAGATTGCCAAATTGACATATGTAATGATTGTATGGCCTTGTTAATAATAGCCTATAGCTATCAAAAGGAAACAAACATCACATAAACCACTGAGCATTTGAGTTTAATGGCCACTTACTGTAGTGATGCAGTCTCTCTGTTTGAAGCTACCTGTCAGTGAAAATGCTTTATAGGTCCCAAAGATAAACACTTAAATAAGGAGGAAAACAGAATGATGTCCTGTCTGCAAGTTCACTTTGGGTCATGATTAATATGCGGAAAGATGGAGAGGCAGACATTGCTTTGATAATCTTTCATCATCACCGAGGTCACGGCACATTCAAGCATTTCAATCAGAGCAGAACGGCAGCTGCACTAACACAGCTGATTCCCCACAGGGCTACGTTAGCTCTTATAACTTTGGTGTTATTGTTATTATTATTATTTTCTTCATAATAGGTTTAGTATTGATTAACTGTTGTTTGGTCACACTGAATAAGGTTAGGTGACCTCTGGTGAAAGTGTGACTGGATAGGACGATGAGGAGGATGTGAAATAAGCCGATGTCACGGTCAGATTACTGGTGGAGGTGCAGAAACAGACACTGAGGCTCGGGTTGCTGGTATAGCAATGTGGTTGGTTTCGAATAAGCAGGAAATAGGAAGTAAATTCTAGAGGATAACCAGAAAATGTAACATAAAAAGGTATTTCATTAAACTGATACTAGTAATTTCACTGCTAGACTCCCAGATGTGTATATATTCACAAATAGCAAAAGCCTCTCTGAGAATGGAGCACATTGCGTTCTTCTCGGTGCCTGCAGCTGTACTGTAATTAATAGCAGAGCTCTAAAGAGTAACTTTGTAAAACTTCGTATTAACTCTTCATCAGAAGATGTAATAGGCCTACATTCATATACATAAGAGCATGGTAACTGTTATATTAACAACCTTCACTGTGATAAATACCATGATATTGTTATATCATGAGTCAGGAGGAATGCAAATAAACGTGTAACTAAGGCTAAATGTATCAAGTTCTTCATTCTGTAACTGTCTATAGTTAGTATGTATTGGATATTTATGTTTATTGGATGGACAACATTCCTCATAATAGGCCACAGGGTGCCACAATGTTAACTGCTTTGGTGTTTTTTGTAACACGTAATTGTTGATTTATTCAACACTTGTTGCTGACATTTATTGTGCTGCATGAAGACATCTCACAGGACTAAACATGTTCAAATACCATCAAAGTTTGGTTTCCCCTCCCTCCCTTACCTTCTATTGAAGCGGAAGTGAGTGTGGAAATACTTGTGCTTCAGGCCAACTGTGTATTTCAGGGATATTTCCGTCAGCAGTGTCAGGTCAGGACAAGGCAACAGATTTTTTTGGATCAGAAATGTCTCTGGGAAAAAACTAACGTCAGGCTTCCCTGAAATCCGCCCCTTCCTAAAAACAAACACTTGTTTACAGTTGGCACTGCTCACCAATTGTGTGACTCATGGCTTCTCCTTTACCTTGTGTAACATCTAGTTTTAATTCTATCTCCGAATTGGGAGTTAAGCTACTACAGCCAACTGTTACCGAAGTAACAGAAGGCCAATGCCATCGAAACAAAGTAACCCTCATTACTGAACCAGGAAGTAATCCATAAAACACATGTTGTAACAAAAAGAGGATGACCCTTTTGTTTGCTCCTTCTGGGAAAAACCGAATTATTCTTCTCTACCCATTAACAAGCTTTGCACACTCAAATCACTTTCTCAAATCAAATCTGCTCATTGCAAAGAAGACCGTCTATTTTAATTATTTTAAACTCCACTAAATTGTTTCATGGAAATGAAAAGCTCTCTCCTGATGCAGGCAATTATTTAGAGTATGTATGCAGTAGTTTACTTGTATTGGTCATTTATAGGTCAATGACTGACATATGACTCAACTAAAAATATGGCTTTAACTAATAATTATTTTTCATTTAGAGCCCCAATCCAAAAGATATTCAGGTACTCTCATATCTGATGAAACCAAAAACAGCAAATGTTCCTATTCATGACGGCCTAACAGGGAAATGTTGTTTTGTACACCAACTCAAGACAAACTAATCTTTAAGACTATGGTCACAGTGAAACATAGCAAAATAGTGTGTTATTGTATTCCCCAAGGGTTGGCGACATATTGGGGTTTTGTGTTTAGTTTCTCGCACTGAGACAACAATTGTCTACCAGTGAACACTGATGACAAACATCTGTCCCAAAATACAAAACAGGCTTCACTGTGTCAAACTTATTGAAATTATTTTACAGTCAGATTGTGGGCTGCGGTCACATAAGACTTTCTGCTGGGAGCAAGTGAGACAGACATGATCATTGCAGTGTGTTTGATTATTGTGATAAGTTTAGCTCCGTTTGAGATATGGATGATTGTGTTGCTGAATACAGTCATAGATGAGAGGGTTGAGACCTGAGAGATAAATGCATGAAGTGTGTTGTAGGTGTTATTTCTTTGCATTTTGATAATAGACTTCAGAATGTAAATTATGTTTCAGTTATCTGGCTCCCCCTTGTGGTCAAAGCAGCCCCCAAAAAAGGTAGCATTACTTCTGTTTAATGTATTACACAAAATAAAAGAATACCCTCATTGCTAAAACAAGCCGTTACCTGTGTTTCAGTGGATTGGCTGTGTTTTATATACTAAAGTATGCAAGTATGTGTCAAAATAGGACTTTAAGATGTGCCCTTCCAGTCAAGTAAAGCCAAAATGGATGCATAGTTGAAAATATATATTCAAATAATCTCTTTATTTATACTATATAGTTGTACACCACTAAAGACAGTGATAGGAGCACACAACGGGCATGAACATTTGTCAGTTATATAGAGGAGGGAGGAAACTTTGCAGATTTGATAATAAAAACAAGAACATTTTCCAAATCCTTGTGTTGATGAAAGTACATCTAAAAACTAAAAGTGGAGAAATAAGACGGTATGTGCCAGATTGACTTCTTTCACTTGCTATTGATGTTTTATTCTGTACAGAGGGACAATTTGTACAAAATTAATCTAGATATATAACACTACATGAAACAAGGTAAATCATATATACAATATTAAATGAATCATATAGTACAGGTCACATACAAAAGGACACTTTAAGTTATCATGTTTTGGAAATTATGTGTGAAATTAAAAGATCTGCAAAGATCCTGCAGAAAGAGAACAAGCCACCAAATCATTTTTAAAATCATCTCTTGTTTTCACGGCCAACTTGTTTTTCTGCACTCATCTCAAACACCTCTTGACTCAAACTCATAAAACATCTCTCCCAGCAAGCAGGACTGTTTCATAAACGCAATGACCTCGACAACAGAAATCAGTTTGGTGAATGGCATTCCTCCAGGGTAAAAGGTACATGTTTAACATGGTAGTTTTAATTTACATCTTTTTGCATTCAAGCAAATACAGTATTAATACAGTTAACAAGCCAAGTCACAATGTCAGTTTATTTTCAGCATCTGGCATTTTTGTGGCCATTTGATACCAGTCTGTTTCAGCGTGTGGGCATCCTGAATGGCCAGAACAAAAAAAATCCAAAGACCTGACATCCACGCTACTTAACCTCCAGAGACAAGACAAAGAAATACAACACATCAAATATGAAGAAATCTAGCAGACCTCCTTAGTTTAAACAATGGTACAGACTGGAAGATATCTTACTAACCCTTAAACAGCTTCCGCACTGAAACAAAATAACACGCAAGCCTGAAACTAGGAATGGTAGCAACAAAAACATATTTTTGGTAGCTTTCATCAAGTGTATTATTCATTTAATGTCTGTATGTTAATTGCTACTGAGGTTGCCAGATCTTATTTTATAATACATTAATTTCTATTTGTAATTAGGACATTAAAAATCTTTACAGCATACAGTACCAATACACCTCCATGCTCTAAGAAAGAAGCACAATGAGCAAAGGTTCTAACTTTGTAACGGCTGATAAAAATCATCAGTGTGTGGAGTTTAAGTGTTGAGAAAATACAGATCTGTGCCTCTTCTTCCATTCAACAAAACACATATCTCTAATTATATTTCCTTTACAAAGATAATAATCACTATTCATTTTAAAGTATATATAAAAGCCCACCATTCACCCTGAACACCCCACAAGCTCTCCTCTTTTTATTCAGTGTGCAGCCATTTCATGCATTCAATGGCTCTCCTTGCTACATCCAAGCTATTGTTCCTGCAACTTAGGTGGTAAATACATACAGCTTTCACTCAGGTTCCTCCTCACCTGTCAAACTCAAAAACAGTAAGTACCATTGTTTGAACTGTATAGTCATTACTATGGTCTGGTATTCAAATATTGCCAATGAACATAAGGAAGCAAGCATATCAAAGAGCGGCATATGGCACGAAACAATAAAATGGAAAGAGTCAGATGTCCACAGGACAACTTCCTCTTTCCTCGCCTCCTCTCCTGGACATTGCAAGGCTAAGGACGAGCCTCAGTTTGGTCTGGCGTGTTAAACTAAAAAAAAAAAAAAAAAAAAATCTTCTATAACACCAGTGACCAAAAACAAAGGCAGGTGTTCCTGTTAAAGTCAAAGATAAAAACATGAAACAAACAAATAACACAAACGTCTTGGCACTGACAAGATGTCCGTTAGATTTAGCAAAAAAGCAAAGCAAACGGATGACGGGAAAGTATTGTCTTTCATCTGACCAACAGGGTCTGTTTTTGTTCCCTTTGACGGAAAAGAAAACCAAGCAGAGACCAAGAGACGATCCTTAGACAGTGAGTCAGTCAGTTCCTATGTTTCCACGTCCAATCCATCGTGTTTGCAAGAAGGAATGATGGAACCAGCGTTGTGGCATCCGTACTCCCAGGTTCCACATTTACAGGGACCCACAGGGGGAGGGCGGGACAAAGGAAGGTAATCGAAGGGGGGGGGGAAATCGGAACGTATATGTGGCAAGGGCTAAAAAGACACAACAAACACACTCCCACTCTTCTCCAAATAAAGACAAAAACCTGAGAAAGCAGAAATCTGAGGGAGGAAGATACAGGGCTTCTGCACTAGGGCAGCAGGAATGGAGGAGAACTGAGGATTCTGGGTAAACTAATGGTGGGAGGAGGGATGGAGAGCCCAACATGGGTCGCCAGTGTAATTCTGGCACCTGGGCGAGGAGGATGTCCATGGCTGTGGAGGAGGGGAAATGGGGGGGGGGCAGTTGAACAGAGAGCCGGCAGGAGGCGGGACCTAGAGTCCATCGTGGGTGGTCAACATGTCATCAGCTCTGCGGTGGGACTCCAAGGCTTTTGTGGTGTAGATATCCTGAGGCAACTCAGATTTGCGTCGCACCATAGGCCGCTCTTTCCGCTGGTCATGCTGCAACTGTCGGGTGGAGCGAGACAAGAAGAGAAAGTTAGGCTTCATCACAACGCCTCACATTCTCATTTCCTGTCAACGTGTCATATCCTCTCTGTTCTGATCATATCTCTGCGATGAGGCAAGACAGCAGGAGAAGCAACATTTCATTTACAGAGGAAATTTAATTAACAGAGGGAAACCAAGAATTACTTTGCAACTGGCTTACTGTTACCTAGTTGACATGTACACAGGTATTTATTGATTATTTAGTTTTATCCTTTTGTCCACACACAAGCAGAGGATATGGACCTTTTGTGAAAACGTTTCCAAGGTGAGGATTGTACTTAAACTTGTCTTCAGTTGTTTTAGAAACGGTGTTTGTGCGGACAGGATTTATTTTTCTTACAATGAAGGAGGAAAAACCCTGTTCTCATAAATACCAGTGTACATGTGGTCCAGGCCAGAGCCAGCCACAGCTAGACAATAATATTATAACAACAAAATATAGAGGATTTGTTTTGGATCATTCAGTTATAAAGCCCCAAAGTGTTCAATATAAAATAAATATGACTTATCAGATAAACTATCATCTGAATAAATTAAAATATCAACTATGTGAGAACCATTAAATAAATCAAGTAAAGTATTACAATTTGTTTTTATTTAGCTTAATTTATTATATTATTTATTTATTATTTCATAATGCTATTTTTACCAAAGACACATTTTTAAGTACTTTTCATAATGTCAGTTTTTTTTTATGTTTATTACATAACGCATTTCACAAAAACTGATTTGAATTTGAATAATTGTATTATTATTATTATTATTATTATTACTAGTTAATTCTAATTCTTAAAGGTGGGGTAGGTAAGTTTGAGAAACCGGCTCGAAATACACTTTTTTTTATATTCCATGGAATGCTCTAACATCCCGATAGCAATGAATATCTGAAGTGCTTTGACAAAAAATCCATTAAAAATGTCATCTGTGGAAGCCGTAGTACTGTAAAGCTTTCCATCTGTGCACAAACTTATCTCGTGCCCTCATTTAGACCCTTCAGAAAAACGCAATTCTGCGATCGCAGAATTTACCGCATAATCAGCAAAATGGCGCAGATTTTTAAAAGGCCGCATATTTATCAAAAGTCCGCATAATCCCCGCATTTTTCCACACAAAGTTGAAAAAAAAAAAGTTAACTCGTCTTGACGTGATTTATAGTGATGATGATGACGTGACGTCATTCAGCATCGCCCATCCCAGAGGTAAACAACACCGTAGAGGTGAACGTGTGGAAACTCACGAGCGACAGAGAGAAAATGCACCATGATGAAGAAAAGTCTTGATCCATCTGGCATGGTTACCGACGAATATTTCTGCTAAAGACGGGCAAAGCAGTACCCCCGATGTCTTTCACGAAAGTGGGGAGTGGAAACTATCTGCCAACCCCGGGCAACTGTGTGTTGAGCATACGTCTTAGAGAAAATTCGTGGGTGGGGATTACAGACTCTACGGTTTGATTCATGAAAACATTCAAAAATGCTTGGCTTGCTGTCTGCGGACGAAGACAAAGCCAACAACTCCGACCTTCAGCCGAGGGCAGTGCATACCTGCAAATATACCCTGTACTGATGGGGTGGGTGGACTAGTAGAGAGTGACATGGGTGGGTGATGAGGTGGGGCCTAGCGAAGATTGAAGCTGTCAGGATAACGGAGCGGAGGGTAAATGGAATACGAGGATAGAGCGGGAGAAGTGTTGTTTGTGTGTGTGGTGTGGGTGTGTGTGGTGTGGGTGTGTGTGAGAGAGTGGTGATAAAATAGATCGCGCCAGATCTCTTTTGACAATAAATAACATTGAAATGTGTTTAGGGATTTGAATAGGAAACGGGTTTAACGTTCAGTGCAGGTTGTGTGTGAGAGAGAATGTAAATAAGATCA